TTGAAGTTCTTACTAACTATATGACTAATTAAAATAACTAGTTTATAAAGAAAATTATTATTTCTATTAAAAAATATTAAAGAATATAAAGAATATTAAAAGATATTGAAAGATATGAAAAGATATTAAAAGATATAAAAAGATATTAAAAAATGTGAAAAGATATTGAAAAATATAAAAAGATATTGAAAGATGTGAAAGAATATCAAAGAATATAAAAAGATATTTGTGATCAATATTCCAAATGTAATTATTCTATCAAAATTATAATAATCTTCTACTATACTATTCTACTATATATATAAATATCATATTATAAAAATATAGATCTTGAATAAATATAAAATATAATATTTAAAAATAGAAATATAATAATAATTATATTAATAGAAATAAATATATAATATAAAAATAAGGATATTTATAAAATAAATGAAAATTATAAAAATATGTGATTTTGCATAACCAAGAAAAGATTATGAAATTAAGGAATTTTATATTACTATAATAATAATAATATTATTTATTTATTAATATTTTATATTAAAGAATATTAATAATAGTAATAATAATAATAATATATATTATAATATATATTTTTGATATAAAATTATATAATGAATATATTAAATAGAAGCTATATTATTATTACTGAAGTTATTACTTAAGATACTCAAACTTATACTACTAATATTATTTGTTTTTTGAAGAATCTATATCAATTCTCTTTATTTTTATAATATATATTTACAAGAATAATACTTGAATTAAGATAATTATTATATATATCAAAAAAATTAGTATAATATAATTTTATTTTTTATAATGATTAGTTTTACAAGAAATAATTGGTATAGTTACTTATATTTTTTGTCATGATTAGTTTTATAAGGAAATTGAAATTAGTCAAATGATATTTTATCAATTTTATAATATTAGTTATATTTGATATACATAAAATTTTCTTTTATATAATTTAAGAAATCAATATCTTATTATTTATATATAAATAGTCTTCTTTAATTATTATTTTAAAGATTTTTAAATAGAAATTACATTCGTAGAATATTATATTTCATTCAGTAAGATGAGTATTTTCTTTTATATAAGTTTAAAAGAAAATAAAAAATAAAACTGAAAATAATCTTGTTTATAAAAATTATTTATTATGTTATAATATATAATAATGATAATATATAAAACTTCTTATTTCATCAATTTGAAAAGATTTTGAAGTAGTTAGTATAATTATGAACTCATAATAAATAATAAGACCGAGATTGCATTTAAGAGCAGGCTGAATCTATTTTTGAAAAACTTTGTGTATATCAACAAATAAAAGCAACTTTCACTTTGAAAATGTTCATTTTTTACCTCGTGTATTAACTTTTGAGTAATTTGCTTTGAATTGTATAATGTTTTCAACACAACCTCATTTCCATATCATTTAATTTATTTTTTTATGATCCCATTATTACCAATTGCATTTAATGGTCCATCCAACCAAGTAGCTTTACAAATTGATCTAAAACCTCCTTTTGCAAAATATTCAACGTTGGTGAATCTTTCAAAAAGAATCCATTCAAATATATTTGCTGCACTCTTTTATTAGAATTATCGATATCTTATTTCCGATAGACAATTCTTAGTCATAAATTCGTTTGTGATATAAATAATGCATTATTACAAACATGAATATTGTGAACTAAACACTCATCACAGTAACCATCATATCGACAATCAGTATATTTATTACAATGAGGAATATTTGATTCCATCTTTGAATTCTTATATCAGACATATACATGTACAGTAGATGTACATTTAATTAATCAATTAAGTCATTAACTTTTGTTGATTTGTATTTCATTGGCATTATGTCAACAACAAGTTAGCTATTTTTTTTTGCTATAAAATTAACGTTTTTATACTTTAACACGATATCCCTATTTACCTTAATGTTAAAGTTTGTTTATAAAATAATCTTCCGAACATTTTTATTTTATTACATGTATTTCATAAAACATTTTGCATTACTTCTCCGGAAATTCTAAAAAAATATAAAGTTGATTGATTCAACTCATAACAGAATCAATTGATAGACGTACATAAATACGTATTGCTATGCTAACACGAAAATTTCGCCATGTATTTTATCATATGTATAATGTTCCATAATGATAAAATTTTTTACAATCTATGTATAATGATGTATTCTATAAAAAGTACAATCTTAGTATGTCGATTATTTTATAAGAAGAAATTTTTAATTTTGTTTATCTATCTTCAATAATTATTTAAATTTCGTTTCTTCAGTGCATCACAGTCGCAGATTCAATACTTCCAATAGTGATTTGCAAAAGCTCTTGTCATTTTCGCTACAATTTTTACAGCAGATTGTGCAGTGACAACAGCAAAACAGCTTCAATAATAAAATACCAAAGCGATAATATTAACAACTAAGCAATATTTCTTCCTTATATTATTTATTACGCTTTATTTGTAAATTATATATATTAATAAAGTATTCTTATAGAATCTAGATCAGATGAACATCAAGGGTAATTTTTAACGGAAATTAATAGGATCGAAAAACTCATTGTCCGGAGCGAAACGTATTGTAGCGCACTATTGGAGAATTAACGGATTTAGAGGACGAGTACAGCAAGGTAAGAGTAAGAGAAAGACTAAAGATTTACAATTAAAGAGTATCTTTATTGTTCTTGTGGTGATTTATGCGTAAACCAACCTTTTGCAAATGTTAATATTCAGTCTCGCGGGACGTCAAGGAGGGTTTCCGATAATCAGCAACAAGAAGTGTCTATACTAAATAACAAAGGGTTTTGAGAAGGTCTCTGATCATCTACAACAAAATAACGCCTGTTTTATTAAGGTTACTTCGGAAACAACAATCCAGATGGTTTCAGCAAACCAAAAACTACAATACAGTATCAAAGGTTGGGCTTGGTTTTTGCCAATAAATCAATACTTCGAATTATAGATTATTTAGAATGAAGGTCATTCACTACTTGTACGCAAGATTTGAAGATAGTTAGGGCTGTTAATGGAGAGTTCCAGTTTATATTGAAACATATAATCCCAGTAACAATATCGATATCAGATTAGAGTATTTCACGCACTAATTAATCAAAACTATGTAAGTTATAATAATAAAAATCGATAGTACAGATTTTTTATGTATTGTTTGATATTTAAGCACCCATGTAGATCCTGAGCAGACCCCAACTATATTATTTGGCCAATAGAATATAAGATCTGTGTATAACGTGATAGGTAATTCGATTCTATTATTTTAAGTGTTATAAAATCTTTTAATATTAATAATTAACGACTTATAAATAATTTTTAAACAGATTATCTGCCTCTTGCTCTCGTTGCACGTCTAACTGGATTAATGAAGCGGAATCTTGTGGTCTGTAAGCTATTCTGTTTTCTTTTCGAATATTCTCAATTGTTCACCAGTTACTTGAATTTCGTCTACTTTTGCTACAGAAAGACGCATTTTAGCTTGTTGGGTAGAATTGGTCATGTTCGGGTGGGTTTTTAAGTTCCACTTATTGAATAGGCCTTCGATTTGCTGCTGATGAACAATAATGTACCAAATTTTATTTTTAACGAAGTCGTATAGCAGCGGGAATTGATGAAATGAGACAGTTGATTCATTAACGAATGAACTGAATTCTTGAAAAAACATTTCATTAGTTAATGCATTCTTAAGACCGAAATCATCAAAATTTTCTTGAATAACGTCAGTTTCAAGATACTTTGCATAACAAAGTTCTTTTAGACTAGGAATATTCGGTCAAGGCTTTTTAAATACTACATGTCAATAAAAGCCAGTCGAACAAACGCTCATTTTTTTGTTTAACCTAATTAACGATAATAAAAACGAGATTTAAAAAGATGTAGCGTTAAAACTATCTCGAAGTCTACAATAAATTTCGACATATGATAAAAAAAAGGCCTTTTGTCAATGTTACGGTTTTATATTTTCAGTTTTGAAGCCCAATTCGTCAAATTCATGGCAAACGTTCATTTTTTAGCTAAAATCTATACAATAAAACAAAAGAAAAAATTCTCGCTAATGTAATATCACTAAATAGTTAATTAATTAAAAATTTTAAACTGTAACTTCTTTTGACTACACTACATTCATTGTTGAACATTAATCTTTACTAATAAATTACTAGTAACGACGCAGCAATTTTGCCAATCAATTTTATGCATAAAATCTAACAGTAATTGCATTATTATTATACCTTACATAGTTTTGATTAATTAGTGCGTAAAATACCCCCAATATCAGATGTTTATTGTTGACCATTTAATTATAGCAGTTGCAGTAGTCTCGATGTCAATAATTACGAAGTATCACAATGTTCTGGGACGTTAATTGCATGCAATTATTAACTATTATGTTAATAACTACTAATTGTTTTAACAATGGTGATATTCTCCTAAAGAATTTTAAGGGTAAATTTAAGAATTACGGATTGAATGTTACTATCGTTATAGTAACAATACTGTTACTATGTAACATTGATTTCCGTTTTCGATGCATCGCGATTATCTTAAATATATGTATTGTACCAATAATTTATCCAATAATTTATTTAATAATTCTCCAATAAATTATCTAACAAATAAAGCAACAAAAATTATATATATATAATATAGTTACAAAATGAAAAATAAGTGTGCATTAAAGTCCTAATTCATATAATTGACTTATTTGTGTACAAAACTACCATTATATAATCACCAAGACCTGCGAAATTGATCGATGGTTAGTTCCTTTACTCCAGAAAAGCGTATGTTATTGTGATTAAATTGATTCAACGATTGTTATGGTTTAAGACTTTTATCTATAAAAAGCAACGTTGATGGTAAAAAGCCCCTTAAAATAAATAAAATAATAAATAATTAACACTTGTAAAAGTTATAAATATCTATAGAGATGTTAAAAGTCCGGTCTCGTTAACTCGGCTCTAAAGGTCGACTTTTGTTAATAACTCGGTCTAAAGTCAGACTCGAGTTTAAACTTATTCGTCATGTGATATGCAGTTTATTACGTAAAATATGTACTGATATGTATTCGATATTTCATATAAAAACGTTTAATGTTTTATTCTATAATCTAAATTTTATTCTATGATATTAATTAACTTCTATCCAATTTTTTAATCATAATGAAGCTCTTGTTTGCTCGAGAAGACGACTTCTTATAAGATTAATCGCGTGCTTTGCTATGGAGAAGGCACGTTCACATGGAACACTTGAAACTTGCAGTGCATAGTAATCTGTTCCATAGAAGCAATAATTGGAAAACGAGAAGAATTAGTTTTCCACCACAATAATGGATTTATATTTGGCTCTGAGGGCAGAGGGGTCTACCCCAACATCCTGACAGTCCAACATCCCGACAACCTAACTTCCCGAAATCCAACATCCCGACAACCCAACATCCCGACAAAGCCAATAATTGATAGAGAAGGAAGAATTATAAATGTTACTAATGATCGAGCAAATCGTTCAGTATTAGATTTTCTTCGTGGAATTGCGCACAATCTTTCTTTATAATGATATGTGTTGCTTTTATTCTTTTTTATATAAGATTTATGTTCATTTTCCTTAGCTTTTTATTATATGTAATTAAAATTTACGTTTAATTTCCTTTTATGTTAAATCAGTTAGTTATTAACAAATTAAAAATAAAGTTGCGCAATTACCAAGAATTATTTATCGCGCTGATGTTTAAATGCTAGTTATCGATCCCTATAATGGACTAGTTTGTCGGGAAGTTGGGTTGTTGGGAAGTTGGGTTGTCGGAATGCTGGAATGTCGGGAAGTTGGATTGTCGGGATGTTAGAATTTCGGGAAGTTGGATTGTCGGGAGGCTAGAATTTCGAGAAGTTGGGTTGTCGGGATGTTGGAATTTTGGGATGTTGGGCGGCACCCAATAAGAGGTAGATGGCTAATTCATTTGCTAATTCATTTATCATTACATTTTCATTTTTGTTTGATTTAATTAGCTTTCGAAAAATTTCTAATGAATTTTCCTGTTCAAGTGATATTACCGTTTCATTTATTTGATATGTTGAATAAGAAATTTTCAATTGATTCACAATTAACTGACGATATTCCTCATTAAAGATTTCAAGCTTGGTTGACGGATCGAGAAGAGAGGGAATAGTTGAAGATCGTGAAAGGCGAGACCAATAATTTGTCAATTTGATTTTCATTCCTTGAGCCACTACGTGATATGCCATAGCATTCAAGATATAATAATCTAGATGTACAAAAAGGCCTTGAATAATTAATAGTAAAGATCCATGAGAAGGCAATAACGCACTTGAAAGTATTAATGTTGCCTTATAAAAAGGATGAAGAAGATTTAATATATCTTTAATTATTTTCCAATCATCAGATTCCAGATAGTCATTTTTAGATTTGGACGGGATTGTTCAAGACATCTTGAATTTCAATAAGTCGTTCAAGCATAAGATAAGTTGAGTTCCATCTTGTGTCAACATCAAGCTCAGGGCGAAGAAAAGGACGGTTAATATTGTAGAGATTCTTTTCATATCTTCCAAAAGCAATGATGAATTCTTAATTTTATTGCAAAAATGTCGTGCCTTCTTTATTTGACTTGCATAAAACTTCTGGCCTTCTTTAGCAACAATATTTGGAACATGTGCTGCACAATATATACATGTAAATTCAGGATTTATATGTCGTTGAAGATAACGTAGACAAGTTTGATTATTTGACGTATTATCTGCAGTAAATCCAATTACTTGTTCTTTAATTTCGAAATCCTCTATAAGCTCAAGAATCTTCTCGCCAAGATAATCGCCAGTATGAGCATCATGTAAAGGAATAAAATTAAGAAGAGTAAGATTTATCCATTCAATCCAATGAATAATAATTCCAAGAAAGGGTTGTTGAGTGCATGCAATCCATATATCTAAGTTTACTTTGATTATTTTTAAAAGATTTTTTACTTTATTTTTGCTAATTTGAATTGCTCTCTAATATCTTCAGAAAGTGTTTGACGACAGGGAGTTTTATAGCGTGAATCAAAATTAAAAACATATTTAGTAAAGGAAACCTCTTTAATAACTGAAAAAGGTTGTTGACTAATTATAATCCATCGTAATAAATTATGGTTTAATGATTCTACATGATATTTATCCGCTATTAAATATGGAGAATGGCAAATAAATTTGTGCTAGCTTGTCGAAAGTCTCTAAAGATATGTGGGTGCTTTTATTCAAAGTGGCATGTGATTGTTAATAAAGATATACTTTTGCTCCTCATCTACCTTTATCACAAGCTTTGCAAGAACGAGTACCATCTTCGAGAACATTGAGATAATCATGAACAGGTACGAGTTTCCAGTTCTGTTTATCAACATTTTGCTTATATTATTAATGATTATATTGCTTTGAAATTCACTCTCAAAAGAGCTTTGAATTTCATTAAATGAAGGATATTCAGATATAGAAGTCATTAATAATAGAATGGTTTCAAGATCGAAAAATAAATGACTATATATATTTTTCTGTTGATAATCTAATTAATACATTATATAGTAAGAGACTTGTATATTAATCTATAATACTTAAAATCGGTATTTTTTTGTAATTAAATAAAAAACAAACATTCTTTAACATTGTTAGCTAATTAAAAACACCAATTTTAATTGTTTTGCGACAAATTATATTATTTAAAAATCCTTTGTTCAGAATTTTTAAATAATTCGTTTCTCAATAAATAATTACGTTATAAGGTAGCACCTAATCTTATCATGTGATTCTTAGGTTTGGCCCCTCGAGTCTAAACACGATTCAAAATTGTCCGGGCAAAAGTCGACTCAAAGACTGACTCCATGAAGCTTTTAACATCCCTATCCAACATTATCTCATTAATCACAACAATACTCTTAGAAAATTGATAGTCACGTGGGGATTTCTCTGTGATAAGCAAGTGTCCTAGTCATGGGCAAAAAAAGGGTGTTAAGCCAATGATTTTTTAAGGTGAACCAATCAAATTGCAAGTTCATGTGTAATGAAAAAAAAATCCAAATTAAATGTTTATTTGAAAATATCTTGTATCTAGAAATCCTGTTAACGATATAGAAGCCTGATATAATCTTAACTCCGAATCTAACTCTAAACCATAATCTTATAAATATTTCATATTTTGCAATTAGTTTACCCCTTAAAATCACATGATCTGACACCTTTTTAGGACTCAAAATAATCAAAACTATTGGAATTTTATAATTATCGATAGTTTCTTAATTGATGGTTTTAATGCACTATGAAATATTCATTTTTCATTTCATTATCAACTTCGTCATATTAAATAGAGCAGGTTTTGTTGATTCTAATCATTTTGTAATTTTGATATTCCGTAATGTTGATTCAAATCAATCTGCACTATATGAAAATGAAGGGTCTGTATTAATCAATATCTTGTATTATTTTAAATTGCACACAAACTAAATATTTTTGCAATAGATTCTATGTAAATAAAATATATGCATCTGGAATCAAACAAAATATGAAATAGAAATCGAAATAGCAGAAAAAATCAGAACATCGTAATTATTGATCGATTAAAAAGTGAATTTCTACACTTTTTTAGTTTTTCTTTCAAAATGGATAATAAACTCAATAGAAAAGCAATGTCTCTTCACAACCAATATTACTTCACTTGACTCCAACACAGACAGATATTGTAACAAATAATCAATAATTACAAAGAGCCCAGTGTCACAGACACATGAACCACCAACAACTGATAAGAAAAACATTTATGAATTGGCTTTGGTTATTGGTTGGAAATGAA